AATAATGCTCAACTGAATCACCAATGGGTCAAGGAAGAAATAAAGAAATTAAAGACTTCCTAGAGATCAATGAAAACGAATATACTACATACGCAAACTTATGGGCACTATGAAAGCAGTGCTAAGAGGAAAATTCATAGCACTAAATGCCTACATAAAGAAGTTGGAGAAATCTCACACTAGTGACTTAACAGCACACCTGAAAGCTTTAGAACAAGCAGCAGCAAAATCACCCAGGAGGAAGAGATGCCAGGAAATAATCAAATTGAGAGCTGAAATTAATAAAATAGAAACAAAGAGAACAATACAAACAATCAATGAAACAAAGAGTTGGTTCTGAGAAAATCAACAAGATAGACAAGCCCTTATCCAGACTAAACAAAAGGCAGAGAGAGAGCATCCAAATTAGCAAAATCAGAAACGAAGAGGGAGACATAACAACAGACATTGAGGAAATCCAGAGAATCATCAGGTCTTACTTCAAAAACCTGTACTCTACAATGCTGTGGATGATTGATTGATAAATAAAACACTGACTGGCCAGTAGCCAGGCAGGAAGTATAGGCGGGACTAGCAGAGAGGAGAATTGGGGGAACAGGAAGGCAGAGTGGAGGAGGAGTGAGGAGCAGGATGTAAAGTACCAGTAAGCCACGTGCCACGTGCCAAGGTATAGATTAATAAAAACGGGTTGATTTAAGATAGAAGAACTAGATAGCAAGAAGCCTGCCACGGCCATACAGTTTGTGAGCAATACAAGCCTCTGTGTGTTTACTCGGTTTGGGTCTGAGCGGCTGCGGGACTGGCGGGTGAGAGAGATTTGTCCTGACCGTGAGCCAGGCAAGACTGGAGAAAACTTCAGCAATACCACAAAATTGGAAAAATCTAAAAGAAATGGACAATTTTCTGGATAGGTGCCACATATCTAAGTTAAATCAAGACCAGATAAACTATTTAAATAGACTAATAACCCCTAAGGAAATAGAAACAGTGATTAAGTCTCGCAACCAAAAAAAGCCCAGGACCAGATGGTTTCAATACAGAATCTACCAGATCTTCAAAGAAGAGTTAATACCAATACTCTTTAAATTGTTCCACACAATAGAAACAGAAGGAACATTACCAAACTCCTTCTATGAGGCTACAATTACCCTGAGTCCTAAAACAAACAAGCATACAACAACAAAGAAAGAGAACTACAGACAAATCTCCCTCATGAACACTGATGGAAAATACTCAATAAAATACTGACAAACAGACTCCAAGAACACATCAAAACAATTATCCACCATGATCAAGTAGCTTCATCCCAGGGATGCAAGGGTGGTTCAACATACGAAAGTTTCTCAACGTAATACACCATATAAACAAACTGAAAGAAAAAAAACCACATGATCATTAGATGCTGAAAAGGCCTTTGACAAAATCCAACACCACTTCATGATAAAGGTCTTGGAGCAATCAGAAACACAGGGAACATACCTAAACATAATAAAGGCAATTCACAGCAAGCCAACAGCCAACATCAAATTAAATGGAGAGAAACTCAAAGCAATTCCACTAAAATCAGGAACAAGACAAGGCTGTCTGCACTCCCCATATTTATTCAATATAGTACTTGAAGTTCTAGCTAGAGCAATAAGACAACAAAAGGAGATCAAGGGGATACAAATTGGAAAGGAAGAAGTCAAATTTTCACTATTTGCAGATGACACGATAGTATACAAGTGACTCCAAAAATTCTACCAGGGAACTCTTACAGCTGATAAACTCCTTCAGTAATGTGGCAGGATACAAGATTAACTCAAAAAAAATCAGTAGCCCTCCTATATACAAATGACAAATGGGCTGAGAAAGAAATCAGAGAAGCATCACCCTTTACAACAGCCACGAATAATATAAAATACCTTGGGGTAACTCTAACTAAGCAAGTGAAGGACCTGTATGACAAGAACTTTAAGTCCCTGAAGAAAGAAATTGAAGAAGATATAAGAAAATGGAAAGATCTCCCATGCTCTTGGATAGGTAGAATTAACATAGTAAAAATGGCAATCTTACCAAAAGCAATCCACAGATTCAATGCAATCCCCATCAAAATACCAACACAATTCTTCACAGACCTGGAAAGAACAATACTCAACTTCATATGAAAAAACAAAAAAAACAGGATAGCCAAAAGAATCCTGTACAATAAAATAACCTCCAGAGGCATCACCATCCCTGACTTCAAGCTCTACTATAGAGCTACAGTAATAAAAACAGCTTGGTACTGGCATAAAAACCAACATGTAGACCAATGGAACCAAACTGAAGACCCTGACATTAATCCACTAACTTTTGACAAAGAAGCCAAAACTGTACAATGGAAAAAAGAAAGTATCTTCAACAAATGGTGCTGGCATAAATGGATGTCAACATGTAGAAGATTGCAAATAGATCTATATCTGTCACCATGCACAAAACTTAAATCCAAGTGGATCAAAGACCTCAACATAAATCCAGTTACTCTGAACCTAATAGAAGAGAAAGTAGGAAGTAATCTTGAACACATTGGCACCGGAGATCACTTCTTAAATATAACACCAGTAGCACAAACACTGAGAACAACAATTAATAAATGGGACCTCCTGAAACTGAGAAGCTTTTGTAGGGTAAAGGACATGGTCAATAAGACAAAAATGACAGTCTACAGAATGGGAAAAGATCTTCACCAACCCCACATCTGACAGAGGGCTGATCTCCACAGTATATAAAGAACTCAAGAAACTAGACATCAAAATACCTAACAGTCCAATTAAAAATGGGCTATAGAGCTGAACAGAGAATTCTCAACAGAAGAAGCTCAAATGGCTGAAAGACATTTAAGGAAATGCTCAACTTCCTTAATCATCAAGGAAATGCAAATCAAAATGACTCTGAGATACCATCTTACACCCGTCAGAATGGCTAAGATCAAAAACACTGAAAACAGCTTATGCTGGAGAGGATGTGGAGCAAGGGGAACTCCTACACTGTTGGTGGGAATGCAAACTTGTACAGCCACTTTGGAAATCAGTATGGTGCTTTCTCAGAAAATTGGGACTCGATCTCCCTCAAGACCCAGCTATATCACTCTTGGGCATATACCCAAGGAATACTCAATCATTCCACAAGGACATGTGCTCAACTATGTTCATATCAGCATTATTTGTAATAGCCAGAACCTGGAAACAACTTAGATGCCCTTCAACTGAAGAATGGATAAAGAAAATGTGGTACATATGCACAATAGAGTACTACTCAGCAGAGAAAAACAATGACATCATGAGGTTTGCAGGCAAATGGATGGACTAGAAAATATCATCCTGAGTGAGGTAACCCAGTGTAGCTGGAGTTATCTCCAGTCCCGCCTGAGCTGGCAGCCACCACACTCAAATAAACACACAGACACTTATATTATTTAAACTGTTTGGCCAAATTGCTCAAGCTTCTTGCTATCTAGTTCTTATCTTAAATTAACTCATTTCTATTAATCTATACCGTGCCACATGGCTCATGGCTTACTGGTACTTTACATCCTGCTCCTCATGGAAGCCCTGCCTCACCCTTCCACCTCCCAGCATTCTCCTCCTCTTTGTCCCACCTACACTACCCTTTCTGCCTGGCTATTGGCCAATCAGTGTTTTATTTATCAATCATAGCAACATATATTTACAGCATACAGGACATCCCACAGCAACCCAGACTCAGAAAGACAAACATGGTATGTACTCACTCATAAGTGGATACTAGATGTAAAGCAAAGGACAATCAGACTGCAACTCACAGCTCTAGGGAGGCTAGCTAGTAAAGATGACCCTAGGAAGGGTATATGGATCATCCAGCAATGGAGAAATGGATGAGATCTATATGAGCAAACTGGGGGTGAGGGGAGGTAATGGAGAACAAGGGTCGGGAGAAAGAGAGCTTAGGGGAGTGGGAGGTCCCAGCTGGATCAGGAACAGAGTGGGAGAACAGGGAGGGAGATACCATGATAAATGAAGACACCATGGGAATAGGAAGAAGCAGAGTGCTAGAGAGGTCCCCAGGAATCCACAAAGATGACTCCACTATAGACTACTGGCAATGGTCGAGAGGGTGCCTGAGCTAACCTACTCTGGTGAGCAGATGGCTGAACACCAGAAATGTCATGATAGAACCCTCATCCAGTGACTGATGGAAGCAGATGGCAGAGATCCACGGCCAAGCCCCAGGCAAAGCTCCAGGAGTCCAATCGATGAGAGAGAGGAGGATTATATGAGCAAGAGTTATCGAGACCATGAATGGAAAAAGTATAGAGACAACTAGCCAAACTAGTGGAAACACATGAACTGTGGACCAATAGCTGAGGACCCCCCATGGAACTGGACCAGGCCCTCTGGATAAGTGAGACAGTTGTTTAGCTTGAACTATTCAGGGGGCCCCCAGGCAGTGAGACCGGGACCTGTCCTTAGTGTATGAGCTGGCTTTTTGGAACCTAGGGTCTATGCTGAGACATTTTGCTCAGCCTTGGTGCAGGGAGGAGAGAATTGGACCTGCCTCAACTGAATGTACCAGACTGGGCTGACTCCCCAGGGAAGACCTTACCTTGGAGGAGGTGGGAAGTGGGGGGGTAGGCTGGGGGGTGGGAGGAAGGAAGACAGGGGACTCCGTGGCTGATATGTAAAACAAATAGAAAATCTCTTAATAAAAAAAATCTTTCTAGGCCGGGCGGTGGTGGCGCACGCCTTTAATCCCAGCACTCTGGAGGCAGAGCCAGGCGGATCTCTGTGAGTTCGAGGCCAGCCTGGGCTACCAAGTGAGTCCCAGGAAAGGCGCAAAGCTACACAGAGAAACCCTGTCTCGAAAAACCAAAAAAAAAAAAAAAAAAAAAAAAAAAAGAAAAAAAAAATCTTTCTAAAAGAAAAAAATAAACTTATTTTCTTATATAAAGTAATTCAAAATATAATTTATCAGCTTTATTTTTAAAAGAAACCATACTGTACCTGGCTACTCCCATGGCCAAAAGGTGTACTGGATATATTAGTGGTTACGCTGTGCAAAATGATCTCACCACTAAGAGACCCAGAAGCAATGTAGCAATCATTCCAATTGTACGCCACACAAGTTACTTCACCTTTATGATCCTGAAAGAAACAAACACAAGAACAGCAGCATTAACCCCCATACTGTGGTGAACGGAAAGAGCACGACTGCCAGTCAATACCTGTGCTAACATTTCCCTTCCACCACCACACTACTGCGTCGATCAGGAAACCACACAATCAGCATGGAGGCTCCTCAGAAGACAGGTTTTCAGAGCCACATTATATGTCCACGGACTCTGAAACAATAACCATTCTCGAAGGGTAACTTATTTACAGTTCACCTTAGAGAACTGATTTCCCCTGACAGACAACATTTATTTCACGTTAAATGTTTGCTCTTGAATATTACTGCTCAACTAGAGGACACTGAAATTAGCACCAAAACGACAGAATAAATAAATGCTAAATAAACAGTGGTGTCAAGGGGTCAGAAGAAGAAAGGTATCACTTCACCTGAACTGATAGAGAGAGAGAAAACTGAGTCCAACCTTAGAGACAGGATGAGAGTGAGGAGTGGCAAAAGACACATGTAATCAAGAGCTCAGGACTAGCCTGTACTACATAGAGTTCTAGGCTAGCCTGAGCTACATGGCAAGTCTTATCTCAAAGAACAAACGAGCAAATAAACAAAAGAAGAGGTAAGTTACGGGGAAAGGAAGGACGGCAGACATGACAAAGTGGGAGAAAAGCAAAGACACATCTGAGCCATGGGACAGCAGCTGCTGCCACTGGCCGACTACCTCCTCTGCTGGGGTTTCACATGCCAACTAGTCAATCCTTCAAAGTCCTAAGAGCTGTCATTTCCCCACTTAGAGATGAGGCACACGACACACTAAAGCTTAGGAGACTGGGGCCACCTCACATACGTGCTCAGAGACAGACTAGTGTTCAACTCCAAGTCAAACTCCAAAGCCCTCGGCCCTCCCAACACAGCAGACTGCCTCTTAAATATGAACAGCATCTACTCTGAGGGAGTGAAAAGTCCAAGACTTTGAAGAAACTGAGTCACAGGATTGCTTCCAAACATCAAGTCAGAGGTGTTTAGCAGGAACATTTAATAACACTGACCTGAGTTAGAAGGGTGGGTTTTTTGTTTTGCTTTTTTAACAATATAGTGTCCTGTTATTTACTAAGATAAATATACTAAACTTGATACAAAATAACTAACAGACTATCAAAACTAGTGTGGCCAGGACATCACACTTACATTACAACTTTATCAAACGATCCTTCAAACATTCCCTCTCTTCCACCAAAGAACAAGTATCTAGGGGGTGGGGGGTTGATGCAGAAAAATAAGCAACACTGTGTGCAATGTTGTCATGGGGAACTAAGAGCATGTCATCCAACAGAATTTCTGCCACTTAGTAAAGGAGCAGGTGTCTTCCTAATTCCAGCTGTGGAAAATACATCATCAGGAAACATCTACTATGCACCAACCAAATGTCAAAAAACTGACCAACGGATCAAAGACTCGCCTCTTCTCAGCTCTGTAAGACACCCCCTATTCAGAATGAGACACCCCTCTAAGCCGTGTGAACTCAAAGAGTGCACAATCAAAATACTAAACGAAGGGCAGGGTCTGCACTTGCATGGACCTCTGTGAAGCTAACAAAGAACCAGATCTTTAACATCATACTCGGTTTCTCCATCAGCACATGAGAATACTGCTTTCTGCTCTGCAGTTACCGAAATAAACAGAAGCAGCATTTGCGAGCACAACGGCTAGCACATTAAGGAAAGGGACCAAAGCTAACTACTTCCTGAGCAGCAACTCTTCAATCACCTGCCTTTTCCCACAGCCGAGTTTAAAGAGGCTTCAAGTTTAGCTACACTTAAACAAGAGCCTTCCAAAGGGAACACAAAAGCAATTATGGGATCACTTTTCCATTTAGTTATGAGAGAGAGAGAGAGAGAGAGAGAGAGAGAGAGAGAGAGAGAGAGAGAGAGAGAGAACCACTCTTCAAAATAGCTCCTTTAGAATTAACTCAATGATGCTAAGATGTATTTACTACAAAACAGTCTGGAGATGGGATGACGGGAGAGCAGGGAAAACAGTACTGGCCATAATGTAACAATTAAAGGAAGTTCTTTTCTGTGTATGCAGAGGAGTACGAAGATACAACTATTTATATGTTTCATATTAAGTTCTTTTCTGTGTATGCCGAGGAGTACAAAGATACAACTATTTATATGTTTCATATTAAATCTTTTTAAATGACAAACTCAAAAATAACTTTGTAGTTCCCCTTCTAAACATTAAAAAGGCAAAAAGTAGAGTGAAGAAAGTCTTGACCACAGGCCTTCCTGAGATGAAAGTTTATTTTCTGAACCTGCAAAGAACTGCCTGAGGGAACACGAATTTTAAATAGTAAATTATCTTAAGAACTATTTCATTACCAAGTTTAAAGATACACAAGCAAAAACACCATCAACAGTGGCGGCCACACGCACCCCAGAACTAAGAGGCTGAACCCTCAACTCTGGTTACTGAACTCCAGAACCACACACTTTTCCAACCCCCCCCCCCAAAAAAAACAAAAACAAAAAAATCCTGATGACAAAACCACACCTCCGGAATAGAAAAGCCCAAGGAAGTAGTTCATTCAAAACAGAGGAACTATGTGAATACGTGGGAAAAAAAAAAAAAGTAATAAGAAAAAGGCAACATGCATCAACAATTTTTATGAGGAAAAAAATTCAGCGAGACAGCACCCAGATTTTCCCTAATAAGTCTCACTTTAATTAAAAAGCACTTCAATTATGAGGGCAAAGTTTGGTAACCATCCTAAACAGAGTGTGAACTGATCATTCTATAAATATTTAAAATATATTCACTTACCTTAAGAGACCGATGAACTCGTTTTGACTTTAAATCCCAAATATTAACAGTGTTATTTAGGCCTCCACTTGCCAAATACATTGATGTGGAATTTAAATCGACACATGTCTGCTTTTGCTAGTTAAACAAAACAAACAAACAAAATTAGCTTACCAGGGCCCAGAGATGATACAGTCTCACCCAACACAGTAAGCAGGACAATGAATATGCTGAATTACAGGCAAAAGGATGCTGATACTTGCAACTAAAAGTTTCCGCAACTAAAAATTCGCCTCTCCTCATCCTTCATAGGGATCCAACAGCTTATTCATTATCAGATGTCAAGAAAATCAAAGAAGGTGGTGTTCTTTACTGAAGGGTAGCCTGAGAGGAAGCCTAAGAAACACCAGTGAGCCTTGGCCTCCCATCAAGCATGAGCTCACTATCTCCCCTTGCTAAGACCTGCTCTAGGATCTCTATACAACATCTTAAAATTAATCTCTGCTCAGAAAATGCTAAACATAAGACCTTTAAATAATTTCTAAGCCATGCAGTGGTGGTGCATGCCTTTAATCTCAGCAGAGGCAAGCAATCTCTGAGTTCGAGGCCAGCCTGGTCTACAGAGTGAGTTCAAACAGCTAGGGCTACACAGAGAATCCCTGCCTTGAAAAACCAAATTAATTAATTAATTCTAGCACAGACCCCCATTTTACAAATGAGAAAAGGTTTTAAACATATCAGGACATATGTCCCAAGTCTCCTAGCCAATTTCACCCCAAGGAGTCTTAAGCATCTCAGCAAATCCAGACTTCGGGGCTAGTGGAATGACTCAGTAGTTGAGCATTTTCTGAGTGACTGTGAGGTCGCTGAGAAATCTACCACCAAATACCACCAAAAATGCATGCATAAACATGTAAACAAAATAACCTGGCCACATATCCTTCCTCAACTTAGCGAGGGCACAAATTATCAAGGTGAAGGTGCTGAATAGCCCTCAATTCCTTGTCACCCTGGTCCTAACTTACCAACAAGGTCTATAAACTCCAATCCTACAATAAATTCTACATGCCTCCCTGCATCCAAATCTATTACTAGCACTAACCCAAATGGCAGCAGTCTCCCAGCTAGTTTTCCTGTTTCCACTCCTGTTTCCTGAAAGCCCATGCCCCACAAATACAGTGGACAAAAAAATGTAAAAAGCCAGCCAGAGCTGGGTATAAAGGTTTTCAGTGGCTCACAAGCACACCTAGAAGAAACCCCAAACCCATCAACTTGCTGTCAGAGCCAATATTTGTCTAGGCTATCAAACTCAGAATGAAGTCCAAAGGAAAGACTCCCTGACTTAGCCAAACGACAAGCTGTGCAGGCTGAGGCAAGTCACCTCACACTTTTGAGATGAGTACTAGATCAACTGTTGCTACCCTGAGAGTCAGGCATCCCCAGAACAGCCTGGGCTCCAAAGACTCTTACAGACGGTCCCCTTTCCACAACCCCACTGGGTGTTAACCAACAGTACCAAGTAACACATATAAAAAAGAGCAAGACACACACACACTCACGTGCACACACATACACACACACACACACACGCACACACACCATCAGTGTTTTAACTCTAGTAAAAATGTCCTTGCAGGCACCATCCTAGGAAAGAACAGGTCTGAAGGAGTAAGATTTACTTTAGAATCTACCACATTGCAAATCAAAAATTTCTAATAACCATTAAAATAACTTTTAAAAGAAATAAATAAGAATGGTGTCCACCAAATATTGATATACTGGATGCCAGCTGTCATAGTACAATTATTGTTAAGGTATCAAAACAAAACCTACACTTAAAACTGGCTTACCTTGTTGAGAGAAAGAATTCCTTTTTATGTTAATGTATTATTAATGCATCTAATTAACTTAAATAATTAACAGAAATTGCATGCTATATAGGAATCCTGTACCCATAGGGGGAAAAAAATCAACAGACATTCTTTTTTAAACCTTAAATTTAAAAGTTATTTTGTAGCCCACCAAAGCCATCATAATACTACTAACATCAATCTGGCCACTTCAAAGAGGAAATACACAGAATTAAAAACAAAATCAAGAAGTTAAATTTCATTCTGAAAATAATTTTAAAATAAGTAGGGTGGAAATTTCTTTCCCCAAGTAGAAAAGTCCTGAAAGCTTAAGTGGCATGTGCATTAACAAGGCTGGGACCCCACCAAAATAATGGCCAGATATGTTATAAGAAATTCCTAATAAAGAGTATGAAATCACTGTTTGCAAAAAGCTTTTATAAGTATTTGTGTACCAGCTTCATAATGTAATGTGTTAAAGTGGGGAGGGCTAAACTACACGAATAAATGGAGTATTCACCAAGTCCTCAGAATGACTGATTCACATTTGTATAATCATCTGTTAAAGTAGTAAAGCATAAATAGAATTTGAAGTATAAAAGTATAAAGTATACGTTTTTTAAAAGTAGGAAAAGTAGGGTATCATAGTAATAATCCAAACACTAAGGCAGCAAAGGCAGGTGCATCTCTATGACTTCAAGGTCAGCCTGGCCTAAATAGCAAGTTCCAGACAGCCAGGACTACACGGAGACTCTGTCTTAAATAAACAAATTAATAAACGAACAGATCCAAAGGGGGTAAAAAGAGGGCAGAGATGCTAACACTGATTTGAAAACACAATGCATGAAAGAGCATCCAGTTATGAAAGTTGGAGGAACTGAATTGCCTTCACCATTAAATTCAATGGCAGCTTGCTGGCCATTTTTCAAGGTCCCAAAGACACCAAGATTGCTGTACTTCCTGTCCTGAAGAGTGCAGTCTGCCTACTGACCAGGAAGAGTCTCTTCTTCAACTTTACTTAGGCCCATCTGCCTCAAACTCCCAGTCTACCCTTAGACATTCTGTCTGTCTAAGCTTCCTCGCCTGGGCGGAGGGAGGGAGGGAGGGAAGGAGGGAGGGGGGGGGGGGAGAGAGAGAGAGAGAGAGAGAGAGAGAGAGAGAGAGAGAGAGAGAGGCAGCACCAAGACTAGAGTAAAGCACTCCTTTTTGTTTAGGTGTATTCTCTTCGAAGAATAGCTTTTGTGACTGTATGAATGGAAAGGAAGAAACCAGTATTATACTGAATGAACTTAAAAAACAGAAGGATAAAGGCACAGTAGTCACTGTGTGCCATGGGCCCAGGACTCACTGAAAAGCTGATCTGTTCCAGGTGCTTAAGGCCCCAGCAGGTCCCTGCGTCCTAAGTGCTCAGCATCTAAAGTGGAAGGATACCTTGAGAACTAGTCTTCTGTTGATGATCATGCACCCAGTCAGCAGGACAGTTCCATCATGAGGGTTCATATGGCCAAGTCAACCTAGTGACCTAAGTCACACATCAACAGGAGGGGACACAGAAGCTAGGGACGCAATATAACCTCAGTTCACAGCCTTTCAAGTAAGCATACACACGCCACCTGGTACTGTAGTAGTCGGGGTTGAGGAGAAAAATGTTTTTAAACACAAAGAACCAAGACAAGTAAGTCATTGTCATTTAAGCGAAACTGAGATTTTAAACGGTTTAAAAAGCAAACTTACCCCTTCAGCAAGCTCCAAAAGTGGAACGGGTTTACATTTGCAACTTGACACCACTATTTTGTCACCACTGGAAGAGGCTGTCACTAGGAAGTTATCTAAATGGAGAGTTAAGAAGCATCAAACAGTCCGTGGGCACCCACAGCACCCAACTATGGTCACAGAGCACAGTCAAGTAAGCCAACACCAAGACAGGTCAGACACAGCTTTCAAAATGGTTCCCGTCGCTAACTACGAATTCTCTTTTTCAGGATGGCAGGGAGAACCATCCCTTCTGGCTAGGCTATCATTTGAAAGCCACTTAGCCCTTGTGAAACACTACTCCCTTCCCAGGGTGGGCCAGGTCTAATTTTATCCTTCAGAGTGAGAACATGATAAAAGCAGCACATGCAAATAATAACCAGCTTTGTCGTGGACAAAGTCTGCCCAGGGGACATACTTACTAACCCAGTGCTCAGTACCAACTTCAGTTAGAAAGCTAGTATGCACACCACTCTACTCCTTCCAGCAGAAAACGAAGATGATGTCTTCTCGGGACTAGACTCACCGTCATAGACGCCTCAACCATGGATATATTAAGAACGAGTATTAGAGAGTACAGTAAACACAAATGAGTGTGGTTAAATAGAAACTGCTTATGTTATGCAAATTTAGCTTCATTTTAAGTTAATTACCTTAGTCTATATAAATTACACATGAGTAATAAGTAAACACAAAACAATGTAAGTATTTTAAACCAGAATGATTAAGAAGGATCCTCACCCTCTGAGTCATCTTCTTGTCTCCAGAATACAGGAATTTTAAACTTACAACTTTCAGGAAGCAAAGTCTATGTATGGAAGCAATGGAAATGTCTAGATGATCCTTACTCTATTATTTTGGTCAGTGAGTATAATACTCTGATATTTTATGAATAGACCATGGATTGGAACAATTTTTTGTTGTTGCTTTTGAGACAGCTTCAAATATCTTAGGCTGGCTTCAAAACTCATTTTCCAGCCTAGAATGACCTTGAGATTCTGACCCTCCTATCTTCACCTCCCAAATGCTAAGATTACAAGCACTCACCACCACGCCTGATTTAACATGATGCTTACAATCAAACCTAGGGCTTCATTCATGCTAGGCAAGCCTCTAGCAACTGAGCTACACCCCCAGCCAATGTATTATTTAAAAAATTAAGAAGTTATTTATTTTGAACTCCACTGGACTCAAGGAGAGTGTGTCACCTTTTACCCTAAGAATGAAGTCTCCACTGGACTCAGGACAGAGTGTCACCTTCTACCCTGAGAATGAAGTCTCCACTGGACTCAGGACAGAGTGTCACCTTCCACCCTGAGAATGAAGTCTCCACTGGACTCAGGATAGAGTGTCACCTTCTACCCTGAGAATGAAGTCTCCACTTGACTCAGGATAGAGTGTCACCTTCTACCCTAAGAATGAAGTCTCCACTGGACTCAGGACAGAGTGTCACCTTCTACCCTGAGAATGAAGTCTCCACTGGACTCAAGGACAGAGTGTCACCTTCTAGCTAAGAAAACAAGTCCCCATCTGAGTCAAGGATGGAGTGGCATCTTCTACCCTGAGAATGAAGACTCCAGGTTAACAGGCAAGCTGACATTGACATGAACTGCTCATCGTAAAAACACAAGAGTCCAAGTTTCTCTGGTTTGTGGATCATCAAATGAATCAGCACAGGGCCGAAATCCACAGAGCTAGTCACCAATGCTCTTCCTTTCAAACTCAACTACAGGCTTGCTTTTACAGGCCCAGTATTTGCACATCTCTGAAATAAGCAAGCCCTGGTAAGTGTTGAGTGGAAGTTCCCCTACCAATTACAGGGCAATATGCGCATATCACTTCTAGGGGAAATACAATAATTTCTACCAACACAGCGCCACAGAAAGAAGCCATTGGCTTCTTCCTTTGTTTACTACATTTCACCCCTTAGGGCACAGAAAAAGAAGAGGGGAAACTAATTTCTAAGTTGTTCTTGTAGTTTTAGAAGTTATGAGAGGATCGCGGAGCATCAGCTAAAGAAACCAAAAGAATAAAGAACTTCCCTGGCACCTCGTCCTAAAGCTGCTCTTGAATCTTACACACTGGAACCCTAAGTTGCTGAGTTTAGAACTCTGTTCTTCAGTAACAACTGGCATGGAAGGACCACAGCCTCATGAATGGAGTACGGCTAACATGAAGCTCTCGGGAACAGAACTAGGACCAGCTTCTGAAAGTCACGTGGCACTCCCTCACTGCCACACCAGTCATTAATGCCAGCTCCTGGTAACACTCCCTGAAACCAAGCTGAGCAGAAAAAAACACAGCCTATTAAGAATTGTTTCTTTTCTTAAACAGTCCCCTATCCCCCCCCACCCCCGCCAAAAAAAAGAAACTGTTAACACAATTAAAAACTAAAAATAAGCCAGGCGGTGGTGGCGCACACCTTTAATCCCAGCACTCAGGAGGCAGAGCCAGGCGGATCTCTGTGAGTTCGAGGCCAGCCTGGTCTACAGAGTGAGATCCAGGACAGGCACCAAAACTACACTGAGAAACCCTGTCTCAAAAAACAAAAAAAAAAAAACAAACCAAAAAATAAAAAAAAAAAATAAACTAAAAACAGAGAGGATCAACTTCACACACTTGCCACTCTCCTTAAAACAGTTTCCACATGACAGGCTGGAGAGTTCTTCACACAAGTTTGATTAATAGAGCATCAAAGTAATTGGTTTCACTGCTCCAGTGCAGAAATCAAGGGATGATCAAGAGGGAAATTTAATTCAATAAGAAAAGTTGTCATTTGTTATGTATGTGCAAGAACAGGCATTGGAGATTAAAAAATCCTAATACGTTTGTTCATAAATCAGTCACATTTTAAAGCTTTGTCATTTCCCTTTCATCAGGAAGAATATTAATACTTTGATACTGGTAAAAACCAGACAATTCTTAACACTTAATGGTTGTTGCAAAACAGTATGTGTTTCCCAGAAGATTAATTTCTAGCATACCAATGACATGGACTATTTTCACATCAAGACAACGAAGAGCACTTCATCGACAGCAGAGGTCCTCAACCTCTGAGTGAGTCCAGCAACTTGAGGCACTTTGGACCATCACAACGGGGAGTGAAAAGCCTCCAGAGGTTGGGGAGGAGGGGGCCAGGAACGTTTCCGAGCATCTGACGGCACCCAGGGAAGTCCCCACGAAGAACTGTCAGGCCAAACTGCCAATGATGTGGGGGTGACAGACCCCAGCTTACAGCCCCCCCGCCCCCCCATACCCACTCGGAAGCTCGTCAATACAGGGAGGGTAGCAATCAGGAAAGCACAGGAATCCTCAACCTGTTTCCTCTGCTGGGAAACGGTGCTGCTTTTCATCACGGACAGTAAAGACAAATCCAAACATGGCATCAGGAAGATGCCAATGATGAATGGTTGTTTTCATTTCAATCTCCTTGTCATCAGGAAGATGTGAACGCTGGGCAGCTGTTTTAATCTCCTCCCCATCTTGCTTCTGCCCCCAAGCTCTCACTGAATTCCACATCAGATTCACAAATACCCAAGTGGAGATACAGAAAATTATTCTCAAATCGCCCCCTGCTCTCCTATTGCCCTCCTTATTCTGTGCATTCAGTAACTGTAGACAACAGAACTCTACCACCTGTATCTGAAGACTAATACACAGCAAGCTTGAATGAAGGAGGTTACAACCAATTTGTTTAAAATAAACTCAACAGAGAAAATAAGAGCATATGCACATGTAATGCTTTTATCTGTATTTTTTTTTAATCTATGGCAGCGACATAAAACACTTTTCTTTCTATGGGCCCACACAGCTTTACTGATTACTGAAGACTAATAAAAAGTGGTTACTCGCCGGGCGGTGGTGGCGCACGCCTTTAATCCCAGCACTCAGAAGGCAGAGCCAGGCGGATCTCTGTGAGTTCAAGGCCAGCCTGGACTACCAAGTGAGTTCCAGGAAAGGCGCAAAACTACACAGAGAAACCCTGTCTCGAAAAAAAAAAAAAAGTGGTTACTGTTTTTTAAAAGGATACTATTGCTGCTCCAACATATTGAACTGATTCCATGTGGTGACGTGTGAGGGTTGAATTTATCCACCAATGTCATAGATGAAGCATCCCATATTTTAATATCATCTCCTGATGAAGCAAATCTGAGGTTTTCCTGCATGACTGAACCTATAAAAAGTTTAGAACAACATACACATTACAGAAAAGCAATTTGGAAAAGCTGAAATGCCCCTAATGTAAAGGCAGTGGTTTTACTTGCCCATTTCTGTCCACTTTTATTCCAAACAGCACACACTAGAAGGTAGTTCCAGTGATCTAATCCAGTGACCAGCCAAATCACATACTCTTAGCTCATCCTTCCAAGCGTCTCCCCCAGAAACTCCAACAAACCCAACCTCCTCAGCCCACCTTATAGGATGGGTATGCACGTGAAGATCTCCTACCTCTCTTGTCTGGGACCACTAGACCTGAACACTGGCCTTCTTCGTGTCTATGTATCAAGCCAAGGTCATCCTCACCTTAGTGCCTCTTCACTTCCTGGCCCTCTAACTGAAAAGTTGCCCCCAGATTCCCCTAAACATCTTCTTATCACTCAGGTCTCAGCTCAAACATCACTGCCTCTAACAGGTGTTGGAGGTTTCATAGTGGCTGTACCCAGAAGGACTGCATGGGAGGTTGATTGGACCACAGGCCTGGGTACCAAGTGTTTGTAAGGATCTAACTAGCAAGGGGGAGGTCTTTTGCTCCACCCCTTGGCATTGTTATAAACAGACCTCTGGAATAAAGTTCTGGGCCGCCGGATAACGATGCAGGATAACGATGCAGGCCCTCCCGAGTCTATCCTGTGTTTTCTCTCCACTGTCTATTTCTAACTAAGTCATTCCTCAAGAGTTCCTGGGGTAAATAAGTGTGCGGGCTAGTCTCCTACAAAAAGGTGGGTTGCCTATCTACTGTAGCAAAAGTAGCCCCTTTATCAGTTACCCTATATTCCACCACCCAACTCAACTTTCTTCATGAAACTTCTGCTGTCCTGTTTGTTCCCATAACAATGTCTGCCTCCTCATATAGAAGATTTGAAACATTCCTGATCCAGTACTACACACACGCACACGCACGCACGCGCACGCACACGCACGCGCACGCACACACACACACACACACACACACACACACACACAGTACTCATGTTCTCATCTTTTAAAAAATGTACCATAATCTAGTATTCCTGGAAGTCTCAATCCCAGTATCCCAAATTTTCCAAACTCTACAATTAGCAACATGGTTACAGAAGTTGCCACTGTGTCCCAATACCAACTCTTGGTCCACCGCCTCTCATTTTTTATTCAGTGTGATACTGCACCGCATAATTCTAACAAAGTGATGTCGCAAGCCAAAGCGATCTAGAAAGACATCCAAGGGGCTGCTCCAGGCACTCTGAAGAGCAACAGGTGGTGTGGAAGACAGGGTATGTAGAAATACACAGGAAAGAACAAAACAAAGAAATATACTCCCACACTCAGTATAGGTGGTACAAGAAAGAGGACTATTATTATAGAGCTGGGCATGGTGGTGCACACCTTTGGTCCCAGCACTCTGGAGGCAGAAGCAGTTGGATCTCTGAGTTAAAGGCCAGCCTGGTCTACAGAGTGAGTTCCAAGGACAGTCAGGGCTACCCAGAGAAACCCTTTCTCAAAAAACAAAACAAACCAGAGTACTGTATTATTATTCAATAATAAACTGTCAGCAATACAACTAATTCTACTGCCTCTATCTAAAAACTAATATACAGCAATGAATTTGGATGAAGTAGGTCACAATCAGTTTTTTTGTAAATAAAATCAACAGACAAAAACCAGGGCACAAGCATATACACTATTTTTTAAATTGGTGATTTTTTTTTTAAATCTATGGTAGCCACACAAAATATATCTCTCTTTATAGGTCAACACAGTTTCATTGATATTTGAAGTCTAATAAAAAGTGGTTACTTTTTTTTTAAGGCTACTATTACTGCTCCAACATACTGAACTGATTCCACGTGTTGACGTGTGGAGGCCGAATTTATCCACCAATGCCACAGACCAACAGTGGTCACAGACGGGACCCCCCATATCATCAACAAAGCCCCACACTTATCTCTAATGGGCTCCAGAGGGCAAGATAAAATGCTTAAGGTAGAAACCGTTCATTCCCAAGAGAAAAAAAAAAATGTTTTTGGTTTGTTTGTTTTTCGAGACAGGGTTTCTCTGTGTAGTTTGGCGCCTGTCCTGGAACTCACTCTGTAGACCAGGCTGGCCTTGAACTCACAGAGATCCATCTGGCTCTGCCTCCTGAGTGCTGGGATTAAAGGTGTGCGCCACCACCGCCCGGCAAGAAAAATGTTTTAAGCTAACAAAAATACTTAATGTTTAGGGAAAGGATAAAACTTTCAGCCAGAAACTCCCGCGATGGCTGTGCTTTCGAGATACAGAAGTGTTTGGGCGGTTCGGGTGTAAAAGTGTGCGATCCAGGGGCTGCTAAAAAGCGTCACCTGTTGGACTGTCGACACTGTTTCGACTTGGTGACTGAACATGGACCCTAGGCCCCCCTGTTCCCCTGCTCAAGGAAGAACAAAGCGTAGGAAAGCCGAACTCTGAAGCGCAGTCAACACAAGTGCAACAGGTCGCTTCCACGACCAAACACAAGGTGCCTGCCTACTGGGCAGTGTGGTGCAGCAGCGGGTGGAACAAGGTCCCCCCAAAAGCTGAGTTAAGCGAGGACTCCGGGGACCTGGCATCAGTCGCTCAGCGAAGGTCCCGCGGAAGTCGAGTGACAGCGACCAACTTGCACTTCTTCTGAAGAGTTCTCCGGGGTCGCTTCCCTCGGGACGCACCCCCAGGCCCTGGGCGGCTGCGGACCCGAAGGAGGAGAGCGAGCCGCCCGGGGCAGCCGGGCCCTCGACCCCGTCCCGGCCCGTCCCGTCCCGTCCCGGGCCACTCTCCGCCGGGGGCGCGCGGCTGACCCCGGGGACCCCGCCGCCGCCGCCGCCGCCCGCCGCGGCCCTGAGCCGGGTGCTCACAGCCACCCCCTCGTCCGGCGGCGGAACCTCACCTCTCAGGCGTGGGGAGCACACACGGGGGGCCCCGGCTCCACCCGCTCCGCGCTGCGCTTCCGGCTCCCGCCTGGACTGTTAAACTTGGGCGGCCGGAAGTCCCGCCCCGCGTGACGTCACGGGAGAGGCCGTACTCGGAGCGTCCTGCCCAGCGGGTACTGGGTGGGAGCCCGGACTAGGGCGGTGCAGAGGAAGTTTATCCTTTCCTGTAGCTGGTTTTTTTGTTGTTGTTGTTGTTTTGTTTTGTTTTGCTTTGCTTTGCTTTGTTTTGTTTTGTGTTTTGTCACTTATTTTGTGGGCTGGCTGCTGTATGCCAGGCACTGTGTTAGGCTGTGGGTGTGCACTGGCGGAACTAGCCGAGAGGAACAAGAGATCTTTGGACACGCAGAGGTCCCTGGCCTGATGGAGCTCACAGTCCAGTGTAGTATTAACAAGTCTGTATGTAAACGTAAAGGACAAAGAATAACAGAGGAAAAGGTGGGAAATTGGAAGCCAACGTGGGCAACTGCCAGCTACCACAAAAAAGGTATCGCAGTTATCAAAAAGAAGATGTGACAGAGTCCCTAGTAGAGGAAATTAACATGGATGCTGGTTTAGGAGAGGGCTCCATAAAGAGGAAGCCATGGGAAGCTGATCATTACGAAACATCTAACCCAAACCGAACCCTTCACCCTGAAGGTTGAGAACAAACTCAGAGGTGGCCTAAGCCTCTGGAGCTAACTGTCTTCAAATGCCAAGCCTCATGTGCTGCTGGGTCAGTTCCATGAACGCCGTCTCGGTGGTTATTCTTTTGAAGGAAATTTATCTCAGGGTGAAAAGGGGCGAGCGACCTGAGTTTTCCAAGGTCCTTGCTAAGAGACTGCTCTAGTGACAATTCCCACTTCCATTCCTGAGAGGGTGTTTCTAATGGAAAGTTCACTCGTTTGTCCCAGGTGCACACAGGATGTGTTTCAGAACTGGATACATAATATCCCAGATATCTACACCCGTATCGCCCAACTGGAAACCTACGATGTCTCAGTCCCCACCTCCCCCAGAGGGGAAGATGAAGTCCTACTCAGCTTCTGGAGAGGGATGGGGAGCAAGCAAAATACGAAGGCAGTGAGTAGTATCTGCCTCGTGTAACTGGCAGCTTTGGGTTTTATCATCTGATGTTTGCTGGGGATTTGGCCTAAAACGTTGAGACCTGAGAAAGCAGAATAAGGAAGAACTGGGGCGAGTGAAGATAAGAATGCTTCGAACAGAAAAGACAAGTTTCTGACAGTGAAACCAGCAAGAATACTTAAGACTGTATCATATGGTGGGGGGAAATGTTGACATTAAACTATCCCTCTATTAAAAGTGAAAGATTCCGTAACAATGAAAGTAAATAAGCTGAGCACAGTATCTCTCACTAGTAACCCCAACATCCAAGAGACTGAGGCGGAAGAATTTCCATGAGTTCAAGGCCAGCCTGAGCTACACAGAAAGACATTATGTGAAAAGAAAACAGGAGTAAATATGATTCTCTAGAGGAATGAAACTGATAGCATGAATATATATATATGTATACATATATATGCTTTATTAGAGTGACTTGCTGGCTGTGGTCCAACTAGTCCAACAACAGAAAGTCCAAGAATCCAGTAGCTCTTTAGTCCACAAGGCTGGATGTCTCTTCTGGTCTTGAGCATATGTCAGAGTCCTGAAGAAGTAGTGAATTATCCCAGTGAAGGAATGAACTCACCATTGAGAATAAAGGTCAGATTCTTTCTTCCTTGCTCCTTGTATGGGCTGCCAGGAGAAGGTGTAGCCCATACTTAGGGTGTGTCCTCTGAGATCTAATGACCCGAATTTAAGGTGGGTCTTGTGACCTCAAGTGATCTGGATTTAAGGTGAGTCTTTCTACTTCAAATGATCCAGTTAACTGAAAGTGCCTCATAGGTGCACCCAGCAGCTTGGGTTTTTAGTTCATTCCAGATGTAGTCAAGTGGACAACCAAGAATAGCCATCATAGGAGTGAGCATATTCCATGATCACAGTTGAAAATTTGAGCGAAATTCTCTCCTATCAGGGAGGGAGGAATCGCTAGTGAAGTAGAGACTGGGATACAGTCAACTATCTGCATGCACAGAGGACTTTACCCCCTTGCCCCAACTATGACAAGATTACCATCCTCTTCAACTACATATCTGTAAAAATAAAAGGCTGAAGAATTAAACAAGTTTTAATAGATTTATAAAAGAATATACCTTACAGACCAGGTTCTCTGATCACAATAATGCTAAACATAAATAGAATATAATAAAGAATCTAGAAAAGTTCCAAACATCTGAGAATTAAACAACTTTAACTTCTAGACAACTCTGGATCAAAGTAGAAATAAATCATGAAAATAGAAAACATTTTACTAGATGAAAAAAAAACACAACCTACAAATTGATGTAGGTTTGGTGATGCACACCTGCAATCTCAGCATGCTAGGGGCTGAGTATTGGAGCCCATCTGGGTTTCCTGGTGGCTTTGCCCAGCAGGTCTGCATAAAGAGGATTATTGGACCACGGGCCTGAGTAGCAGGTATTTGGAAGGGTCTACACTTGGCTGTATCTCACAAGGGAGAGGTCTTTGCTCCTCTCCTTGGCATTGTGATAAAAAGCCCTTTGGAATAAAGTTCAGGGCTGGTAGGTTGAGACCCAGGCCCTCCCGAGACTATCCTGTGTTTTCTGTCTTTCCTCTTGTTGTCTAGGTATCTCTTTCTAGCTAATATTTCTCACTTCTCCCTACTCAAGAGTACCCTGGGTCATAAAAGTGGCGGCTGGTCCACCACAGCTGAGGCAGGAGGATGGCAAGCTCTCAGATTGCAAGCTCAAGGTCAGCCTGAGCTGCTGTTGAGTTCTATCAAATATGTAAGGAAGAAATAATACCAGTAAACACAATCATGATAAAGAAGTTGAGGGAATACCCTAAGCTCATTTATAAAAGACAATATGACTCTGATTCTAACCATTGAAAAGGGCATTAGAAGAAACAACCATAGATTCATACCCCTCTATATATAAGACAATGTTATATATAGATATACATGTATATATGCAAACAAATCCAATACCATATATATATGTATCATGTCCAAGTAAGGTTTATTCCATGAATTCAAGTCTGATATAAAAAATCAATATAATTGAGGTAGGCTAGCTTGGACCTTCTCCACTCTTGATGCTCCCCCAGACCCAATCCTCAGGATCATCCCTAGCACTGCAAAAGAACACCAGTTGCAGCTTCTCCTTCCCCCTCTCCACACCTCCTGTGAATCCCACAGACCATCCCTGCTGGGCTCCACCCACCCCCAACTGTTTTCCAGCCTCCCCCCTCAAGTGGTCATAGACTGCTCAACCACAGGCCATGCCTGCCAAAAGACAGGTAAGCTGCCCTATGACCATCTCCACTCTCTCTGTTCCCCTAAACCCAATACTCAGGTAGTTCTGGAAATGAAAAATTTAAGAATGCAAACAGGAACTCCAGAGGCAAGCTTCACCAACAAAACACAGAGACAGAGGAGAGAATCTCAGGCACTGAAAATACAATAGAAGAAATGGATACACTGGTCAAGGAAAATGTTAAAACTAAAATACTTCTGACACAAAACATCCAGGAAATCTGGGACACTATGAAAAGACAACCTTCGAATAATAGGAGTAGAGGAAGGAAAAGAACCCATCTCAAATGTCTAGAAAACATTTTCAACAAAGTCATAGAAGAAATTTTTCCCAACCTAAAGGAGATGCCTATAAAGGTACAAGAAGCAAACAGAACACCAAATAGACTGGACCAGAAAAATAAAGTACTCTTGGCACATAATAAATAAAACACTAAACATACAGAACTAAGAAAGAATATTAAAAGCTGAAGAGAAAGTGGCCAAGTAACATATAAAGGTAGACCTATAGAATTATACTTGACTTCCCAATGGAGACTGCAAAAGCCAAAAGGGCCTGGACAGATGTGCTGCAGACTCTAAGAGACCACAGATGCCAGCCCAGACTACTATACCCAGCAAAACTTTCAATCACCACAGATGGAGAAAACAAGATATTCCATGATGAAGTAAAATGTAAATATCTGTCTATTAAACCAGCCCTAGAGAAGGTGCTAGAAGGAAAAATCCAACCCAAGGAGGTTAACTACACCCATGAAAATACAGGGAATAAATAATCTCACACTAACAAAGCCAATAGAAGGGAAACACAAATACACACCACTCACACACACAAAACCACCACCAACAACAACAAAAATTACAGTAATTAAAAATCATTGATTATTGATATCTCTCAGTATCAATGGTCTCAATTCACCAATATAAAAGACACAGATTAACAGATTGGTTTGTAAACAGGATTCATCCTTCTGCTGCATACAAGAAATACACCTCAACATCAAAGATAGACATTACCTCAGGGTAAAGGGTTATAAAAAGCAAATGGACCTAAGAAGCAAGCTGGTGTAGCCATTTTAATATCTAATAAAGTAGACTTCAAACCAAAATTAATCAAAAGAGATGGGGAAGGACACTACATACTCATCAAAGGAAAAATCCATCAAAATGACATTTCAATTCTTAACATCTATGTCCCAAACACAAGGGCACCCATTTTTATAAAAGAAACACTACTACAGCTTAAATCACATATTGACCCTCACACACTGGTGGTGGGAGACTTCAATATCCAACTCTCATCAATGGACAGGTCATCCAGACAAAAACTAAACAGAGAAACACTGGCGCTAACTGATGTTATAAGCCAAATGAACCAAACAGATATTTACAGAACATTTCACCCAAATACAAAAGAATATATCTTCATGTCTGCACCTCATGGGGTATTCTCCAAAATTGACCCACATACTTAGACACAAAGCAAGTCTCAACAGAGACAAGAAATCTGAAATAACTCCTTGCATCCTATCAGACCACCATGGATTAAAGCTGATAGCAATAACAGAAAGCTTACTACGTGGTCATGGAAAATGAACAATTCTCTACTGCATGAAAAATGAGTCAAGACAGAAATAAAGAAAAACTTTCTAGAATTCAATGAAAATGAATACACAACATATCAAAACTTATGAG